TTGGTTAGATTGATGATAATTAAGCCCGTGTTTGAGCCACATTATTTTTTTTATTTTCATTTTTCTACTCATTTTCAATCATATATTTTTCAATAAAATAATATTTTTCATCACATTAATAACTTTTCATTCCTTTTCAACCATATATTCTCCATCACATCAACGGTAAAAATGCATTCTTACTCCCAAAACGTGCACCAAACAGGTATTCAACCATTAGATGTTTCAGCGTATTGGAGTTGATTATTATTTAGTTCATTTTCGTAGTTGTAGGATAATATCGTGAACTCGAGTACATGAGTGCAATCGGTAGTCCGACTCGAACCCTACCATGTCGACCAAGTCACACTAGCACAACAATTTTATACAAGCGTTTGGAGAAAATTAAAAACAGTGATAATTTTATTCACTCGAGAACAATCGAAACTTCAAAATTATTAGAAAAATATGTGATTGAAAATGAGTAGAAGAATAAGAATGAAAAAAAATAATGCGTACCAAACAGGGGCTTAATTCAAAAGATGAGTTAATTTTAATAAAATATAGTTATTGGTAAGCAGGAGATTGACTCGGTTCGATATTTTCCTTAAACATCTAAGTTTCGCTTGTGTGTAAAATAGGAGCTCGATTCGACACATGGGCTCGTTGGCTTCACGAGTCAAGCAGAGCATTTTATTATTTTTAAAAAAGTTACAAAATAAATCCAAAATCATGCCAAGATATGTTTTTAAAGAAATTAGTAAAGTGGGGCAAAAAAAAAAAGACCTAGCCTATAGCCCAAACGAGTTGATTCGTGAAAAAGAAAATAAAAAAACAAGTCGAACCGCCTATGGATGGAATTAAACAAACTGACGAGCAACTCAACTCATTTGGTATCCTTAATTATTGGTCAATGTAGTAGCTATAGCTGATCGGCACTAAACACCCTTATCCATTTAGTGTTGACTATAAAGACATCAAGTACACGTTATTTTCATCTCAATAAGTTAAAGATGACGATGAGTA